GTACATGCAGAACGGAGTGATCACTGGTGGAAGCAGATCTATCCCAGTCTTTCCTAAGTTTGCATGTATCTGATCCCATTATTGACTGACTCTACTGGCTCAACTCCGTAGCACATGTCAACTAGGTAGCAGTGTCCAATTTCTCAACCAACTCCACATCAGTACACGGATCCAGCTTCGAATCGGGATCCGTGGAACACAATCTATTTTGGTACATACTTTTATAAGTATTGTGACTTATCTTTGTCTAACTCATATCCATCTGATCGCATCTTCATCCGACTCCATTGGCTCAACTCCATGGCACATTATAACCAGGTGGCTATGTCTACTGTATCAACTGATGTTCTACAATTACGCGTATCCATCTCCATTTGGATCTGTAAAACTAGACAAATTTTGACAACATCATTTCACCAGTATTATAACCCAAGCTCACTGCATGATTTGAATTTGTTGTTTGCTTCTTCCTATTTATTTCCCTAATCCCTTCTCAGCTGGCTGTTACGCCACACTGCCGATGTACGCCTTCCTATTCCAAATTCGGTTGGTTTAGGCCTGACGGAGGCTTGGGGTCTACACCCGCAATGGACAATTTGGCACGGGCAATGGTTGTTGGGCGCGACTTTGACTACATACGTCCGCATTCCGGACCAGTTTGAGGAACGCACCCACTGCCTCATCTACAAGGTGTTTTAAGGTTGGGTGCTTAGCAGGTAGTCAGTCCTACATCAAAGCGACCAACGCCTAAATAACGTAAATAACCCAAATCAATCCACTGCTGATCAGAGCCCCTGAGACCATTGATCAAGACCCCAGAGAACTCATCTGTTTCACTACGTGCAGCGCATATATATTCCATGACAGTTTCACTCTGTTCTGCTTCATCCTTTCCGCTCTTGTGTCGGTTCCTGTCCACTCCCGTCCAACGACCTGCAGCCCGCCTCTTATTAATTTACTCACTGATTGCCGTATTTCCAGTCATCATTCATCCGGTATAACGATTCTTGTTTTTCGTCCGACTTCCACCGACATGCTCTCTTACAGCATTCCGCCATCCCGAACCCTTTTCTCTGTTACCTTGCCCACTTTGCATTCCATTTGTAATTATGTTCACTTCGATCTTCAATTTTGTTTCTTTTTGGGCTTCTCCTATACGGATGATTACGCTGTACATTTGATCATGTCTATGCATGCTTCACGGAGCTCGGTGAAGTATACACATTATTATTATTATTATTACTGTCCCTAGAAACAGCATCAAACGGGTCACGCTAGCAGCCAAGCAACTGAAGCAAACCGGAGTTGACGGCCAGTCGGTAAGTCTTCTTGTAGTATACAAACAGGGAGGTGGACGAACCAGAATCACTGAAGTCACGCCAGTAATGTCGAATAATCCTTGTTTACACCAGGATCGAACGGATACAACAGTTAGTTGCGTACACACGGAACAACAGTCGTCGTATAAATCCACAAGAAAGAACACAAGGTCGAGAGACGACGTGTGTTGTCAACAGTCACGTGAGTGTAAACAAGAACGACACAGTGCTGCCAATCTTGGCGTGCGTGAGACAAGTCTCTTGTACAAACTGAAACGAAACAGTCGGTCTTTCGAGTCAATAACAATCAATATAATGCCTCACGATTCGTCTCTTGAATGGTATTTCTGTTTTCACGTCGAGCATAGTAATCATACTCTGGAAGGCGAAATAAAGAGAGAAAGACAAATTTAGGCAGTGGGTTTGAATATGGGTTGTAAACTACACATGCCCCCTTCGCAGCAAGTCTCTGTCCTCAGCGCCGGCAATGACACGGTTGGCTGGCTTGAGGCGGTTGATGTGTACAACAGTGGACCATCCGGGACTGGCGGACGACAGGCGATAGGTGACGTCGGGAACCGCTTGGTTTATGGTGTACGGACCTTTCCTTGGGCGATGGAACTTCTCAGGCACCCCGGGGGTGGCACGGGGTCTGATAGCCAAACGCTGTCCCCGGAACCGCACATGCGCATGGATTGTCGTCGGTCGAAATAGTACTTTTGTCTACGCTGAGCAGATTGCAGGTGTCGACTGGCGGCCTCGTGGGCTCGGGATATGCTACTCTGCATGCGACGAACAAACGGATTGACACAGCGTCTCAGGGACCGTCACCGGCAGCCTGAGGTCGGACGGCAAGTGGAGTTCGCGACCAGTGATCATGCAGTGAGGGGTTTCGCCCGTTGATGTCTGGACTGTGGCCCTGTAAGCCAACAAACAACGGGGCAAGGCTGTGTCCATTGGTCTACAGTTTCGTGCTGCACGAACGCCTTTAAAACTCCCTTCAGTGTTCGATTTGTTCTTTCCATGAGTCCGTTGCCCTGCGGGTGGTACAGTGTTGTTCGTGTCTTCTTGATA